AGTAATCTTTAAATGTACTTCTGCAGCTGATTACCATTTGGAGTCAATCCAATTCAAGATGGCTGCCACAGCTAAGTGATATTAACCATCATAAAAAAGGCTAGAACTTGGTCATTTTAACAGATATTGAGCTGAAATCTGATGTGGTAGTAGCTGAGAGTCATCCACAACATTTACTCTTGTCTCATCAGAGCTCGAGCTTTCGGAGTCAAGCTTTGATGGCTACAACTCAACAGAAGATGATCTCAAGCATGAAAGGCAGCGGGTGACATGCATTTCATCAAGGACTGCCACGTGTGTGGTTCATTACAGCCTTTCTGCCTCCTCTCCTTTGTACCCTGATGTCTTCATCACCATCATCATCATTATCACCATCATCAGGCTGAATTCAGTTTTGTGAAATGAGACCAGGAACAAAGAAGCAGAAGCAGCATGAACCTGCTGAAACACACATTTGCCTCATCAGTGCAGTCGTAGATGTTTATGGCCGAAATCCGCCAAAATCAATGTAGAAGCTCAATAAATAAATAAATAAATAAATAAATAAGGAACGAGTGAGAGAGGGAGGGGTGTGGTGGAGAGATGAGGGAGGGGGAGGATGTGGGGGGGATGAAGGAATATGAGTGCTTTTTCAAGGCGGTCTTTCTGTTACAAATAAAAAACACACAGAGTGGAGGAAAAGCTGCTGATGAAGGGATGGAAATGCAGTTTAATGAGACGAGAGAGGGAAAGGACGAGTCTGGAGGAGGCTCGGGAGAGAAGAAGGTTTAATTTTAGTCCAAGATAATCACCTCAGCGGTGTGTGTGTGTGTGAGAGAGAGAGAGGGGGGAGACAGGGAACAGGAGGGGACCTCGCTGGGACCCACACAGGCAGGCACCCCGATTGTGCTCCGCTCTCATCCCTTTTTTTTTCTCTCTCCCGGAGGTGAAGACAAAAGGGGGGAAGAGGGAGAGTGGTGGGGGAGAAATCTGGAAGAAAAGGCCCCGGGATCAGTGAGTGTCGTGACGGGGGCCCCCCCGGACTTGGCCGCCGCTGGTCGGGGCTGCGAGCACCGGACAGGCTGAGTGGAAAGGCGGCGGAGCGGTCGACTCCAGGCTGGGGTTTCCTGCCACAAAAAGCCCGTGACGCTCCGCGGGGCCTGCTCTCTGCCTGGCTGCGTTTTCAGGTACGCGCTCAGCGGCGTTAGCTAGCTCGTCTCCCGCTGACTCGTCCCCCCGCAGCTCGCCGTGTTTATGAGAAATGTCAGCGCGTGCTTTTGTAACGGCAGCCTCTCCTCATACAAAACCTTATTCATGCTAGCATGTAGTCGCTTTCAGACGGGGGGGCGAACATCTGCACCTAATCACCTCTCTCTCCTGAAGCTAACCGCTGCTCGCTCTGCCTGTACATGTAGCCCGCGCTAGCTGTCGATATTGCTGTTTTGTAGCGATGTAATAAATAATAAAAAAAACAAGCAGGCTCGAAAAGATGCTAACGAGCGGCGTTAGCTTAGCTCGCGCAGTTTACGTGGCCAGCGCTCGTGTTTAACGAGGTGCTTTACCAAATGCTAACATGGCTACAAGCTAATTGTAATGCGTATACATTCGCCGTGGGATAATGTAGCTGCTGGAGCTGCGTTGATGGCGATATGACAGACCCCACAAACAAAACAGGTATGTTTTAGCTCTTAGGCAGCCCTGCAGTTTCATGGGCTCGCTGACAGACGGCACTGACTGAAGCACTTTCTTTTTCTTTAATAATTGCCCCCATGTTTGTGGATAATAAATGCCCCTGCCTGGTCGTGCAGTGATTAATTAGTAATCCAGGAACGGGCAGACTGATTAAACGACCCCAGTGTGCGTTTGTTCAAGCCTAAAATGCAACATGAACGTTATTATCCAGAAGAGCTCGATTGATTGGATCCGTTTGTTTTGTCTCCAGGTTTTGCCATCTCCACTTTCACTGTGATTACTTATGTGGCCTTTGTTAGAGAAGCCACCCACAGTTGTTTTAGGGCCATTAACCAGTTTACAATCTAACTGAAACAGATAATAGAGGCTTGTGCCACAAATGGTAATTACCCATTGACCCCAGAAAGCTGATCCAGACTCGTTGCTTTTTCTCTCGTGCTGCTTAAATCGCATTAAAAACAAGTTTGACTCACGAAAGTCAACTATATTGAGTCACGTTATTTTAAATAAGACGTGGACTTCTTTTGTCTTGGCTCTTCGGAGCCGTTTGTTGTCCTGTAAGGAAGATTAGCTGCTTTTTTACTTTAACAAAGTTGTTTTTATGGACCTGATAGTTAAAATGTGATCAACAACATGAAGCTAATATAAGCCACACTAAGTAATCTTACATCATTGTTTTGATAAATACTTTATACATGTGTTGTTGCATTGCACTTTTTACATAAATCATCCATTATCTTTTACCTGCTACTTCCTTTTTGTGTCGCGGGGGTCACTGGTGCCCACATCCAGCAGTCACTGTGCAAGAGGCGAAGGACACGCCTGGACAGGTCTCCAGTCCATCACAGGGACACAGAGAGACAAACGAGACAAACAACCATTCACTCTCTCACTCACACCTAGAGACAATTTAGAGTTACCAATCAGTCTAACATACATGTTTTTGGTCTGTGGGAGGAAACTGGAGTACCTGGAGAATACCCACACAGCTTGGAGAGAACATGCAAACTCCACCCAGAAAGGCCCCCGGGCAGGATTTGAACCGGCAACCTTCGCACAGCGAGGCAACAGCTCTTTCAATTGAGCCACTGTGCTGCCAGCAATGTACACATATAAAAGAAAATGGAATGATTGTCAAATATTTGACTAAATAATGCTATTTCTGAAAAGCACTAGTATTACTAGTAATAGTACTTCATATCCATGTTGTGTACCGGTACTTAGCTGTTGCCTTTGTGTAATTAGGGAGTAGCATTTTGTACTCATGCAATTACCATCCTGCTGCTGTATAGACTTGATTGGAGTCATGCACAACACAAAAACACCTCTTTTAGCTGCACTGTTTTAGGAGTCCCCAGCAGATCAAAAACACAAAACACTTTGTATCACATTATTCTAGTCATACAATGTATGAATATGGTCATGCTGACTGACCTACAACTGTGCTGCTTTTTATTTTATTTAAGTTCAAACATATTAAAACGTACGCTTTTTTTTTTTTTTTTTTTGTGAAGCTTTTTAAAACTAGGCTAATAATGTAGCATTATTTCACAACTGTATGACAATTCTGAGAAAGAGTTTTATAAAATTAGCCCCTGGGTTGGTTACTAATAGCCTGAATGAAGCCTTCTTTCTCTTTCTCCATACTCTGTGACTAAAGTCACCGCTGATGACGTACTACAAATATTGATAACCATTTGACAAAACATCACTTCAAGGGTCACATGACTACTTCTTTAATAACTGCTGCTACAATAGTTGTAGGTAAATACATTTTATATATATATATATATATACTGTAATTTCTGGACTATTGAATGCACCTGAATATAAGCCGCGCCTACTAAATTTAAAAAGAACATAAAACATTTACATAAATAGGTCGCATTTGTCTATAAGCCGCGGGCGTTCACGTTCTAACGAGATATTTATACAGATTTTTTTATTTATTTACTTTTAATTAAATATGTACCAGTAACACGCACAAATACATTAATATATATTTTTCCGAGAAGTGCCTGGAACCACGGCTGATAAAAAAAAAAATACAGTTGTTGACCCGCAACCCCCCCCCCCCACACACACACACACACACAAGAGAGATGTGTATTGGGCAGCTATGTGAGCGCCTGGGTGTGACGAAGTTAAATGTTTTGGTGGCATGAAGCTCGTTAGCCCATCAAAAATTAAAAAAATATATCCATAAATTAGCCGCAGCATTGTATAAGCTGCGGTTTTCAAAGCGTGTGAAAAAAGTAGCGGCTTATAGTCCGGAAATTACGGTATATATATATATATAATAAAATTACTCAGGCGTATAATTACGCCTGACTATCAAAGGGACTGAGAAGGCCTATTGAAACTGCAGTGTTTATTATTGTTGTTAATTATTATTATTATAGTTCCTTGATGGAAATGGTTATGGTATCTTGTAATAAAACCATTTGTCTAATTATTTATAGGCCACAATTGCAACAGGCTCTTACTAACGACATCTAATTTGTCTTTTTGTTCTTCCAGAGAAACTGTTCGGCCTGCAGCTCGAGGAGTAATGGACTTCATAGACATGGAATTACTCAAGACGATCTGAAAAGTGGAGCTGGAGTTGATGGAACCTGAAGTCAAATAAATGGATTATCCTTATTTTGGATCTTCTTTCTTTGCCATGGAACTATTTGAAATTAAATGGTGGTTGACCAAAAAGAACAATGGGTAATACAACTAAATGGTGAAAAAGCTGCAGGAGCCTGGACGTCATCAAAACAAGAACATTACTGAAGTGGGGACCAAATCCTTCTACAGGCCAAAAATCATTCACCTCTCGGAAAGTGGGTTTGCCTCTGCGCTTAGAGCTGATGGGAACATCTATGGAGTGTTCGCCTGATCTGCGTTCAGACTGTTGGATTTTGTTACTGGAGGTTTTGCCTAATGCAGCTGTGAGTCTGATCCAGAGAAACCTGCACAAGTTGAAAAACTGAAGGATGCCTGTAACGCAGATCGGTGTTTTTGCTATATTTTTGGGGCGTTGTTTTGCAGTTTTCTAAAACTGGATCGCACCTTCGTTTATTCCTGAAACAGCCCTGCCTGCTTGAGCTGTTGTAATACACAGAGTGCATCCACGTAGAGACATTTACAGTTGAAAATCTACAGAAGTGATGTAGCAGTCGTTTGTGAGCTCATTGCCTTCAGTGCCAAACTGTTTTATCTTTGTGGAAATGACTGCTCATTTTTATTTTCACATTTTTCTGAAATAGAAATTGGCCCATACTTCTTTTTTTTCTCCCAAAAAGCAACTTACATTCAGAATATTCTTTTTAAATTAGCCTTTTCCATAATTAAGACTTTCACCAAGTCATCATTTTAGAAAAAGTCTTTTTAGCATCTTTAATATATATATTTTTATCTGCAGCTCACTTATTTTACTGCCAGGCTGTGGACTCTTCAGAGATTCTGCTTTCCAGTTTTCCATCAACATCATTCCCTGATATAGACTCTGACAGATTTATTTATCTTTTTACCTTTTTTTAATCCAAATTTGAAAGAAAAAAAAATGCAGAATTTCTCTAACAGTCCAGCTCCACCCCCCATCCCTACTGGTTTCAGCGGGAGGAGTGTGGGCGGACCTCTGTATCCCCCTCAGCCAGCAGAGCCCCAGATCTCTCCCAGGATGACAGATGATTACATTGGACTGCAGCAGCAAAGCCTGCACAGAGGCCTTCACCACCCAAGTCAAGCCAGCCACATGCTCGTGTACGGTTCAAGAAACCGAGGAGCTTTGGAGCCGCCAGCGCAGGGTAGCATTCACAGTGGCAACAATAACAACCCCTACAGAAAGGATGCTATGGATTATTATTTTTCCATGAGTGGAAAAGACAGACACAGAAGAGGGGGTATGACTTTTGGGGGAGGCTTTGGATACCCTAATATTGATGGACATATACCTCATCAGTACCGGCATCCTGGACCTAGTTCTGTCCCGTCATCTGGTCTGATGTCTCCATATCCAGTGGACTACGGTTCTGGTGCTGGTTCAGGTGGAGGTGCTGGAGCTTTCTCTCCTTCTCATCAGTACAATATCAATCAGAACGCTGCAATGCAGTCAGTGCCAGCCTCTCAGATGCAACAGCGCCAGCATGGGCAGACCTTTCCAGTTGTCCATCCTGGACAGCAGCATAGGAGCTATTCACACTCTGGGCACAGGATGACCCCACAGTACCCGCATTTCTCCCCATCGGGAGGAGCATCCACGGGGTCATCAGGAATGTACAGCCCTCCTCTTCAAAGATATCTCGATGGAGCTGCGAACACTGGATTTGATCCAAAGGTCAACAGCTCTCCCAACGTCAACATTGGTTCAAATTCAGTCTCTACTTCAGTTGCTGCTAATAACGTGGGGCCGGTGGAAAATGTTCAGCAGAGTTACCATGCTTCAAATTATCCTGGATATTCCCCACAGTCTCATTCACTTCACAAGCAGGTCACACTACAGCATCGTAACTCACAGCACAGCTTAGTCGTAGGTTACGACAGCTCCCTCAAGATGCCCAATCAGGGTCCGTCTCCTGGTTCGGTTTATGCTAAACATCATCCAGCCCCCAATCCCAGTATAACCCAAGCAGCATCTCAAGAAATAGCTAAATCTCCGATGCATCCTAACGCACAACAGATGAATCAAAACTTTAGCCCGATCTCCAACCCTTCCCCAGCTGCTTCTGCTGTGCATTCTCCTACATGTAGCTCCTCTCCCTCCCCTTTGATGGGTGTCTCAGAGGCACATGGAAACCCCTCAGGTCACGGTCCTTCACATGCTCCTTCATCAAACGCCCGTAGCAGCCACAGCCACGCTCGTTTGCTACAGACTGCGCCTCAGTTAAGTCCCACTCCCAACTCAAACAGCAGCATCAGTAGTTGTGGTAGCAGCAGCAGTCTTAAAGCTCACAGCCTGAGTGCAGTCGGAGGGAGCGTTCTTCCTCCAATGGGTCGCAACAAAATGAGCCATAGTACTGGAGTGAAATCTCGAGAAGAAGCCCCCTCTGTTTATTCAGCTTCTTCGTTTGACAAGATCCAGGATGCCGGCCTGAACAGTCTTAATGCCTTGAGCTCACAAGTAGCCAATTTACCAAACACAGTTCAGCACATGCTCCTCACCGACACGGTGTTCTCACACAGAAAAAAAGATGGGGGGCAACAGGCGGCGTCCAGCATGCCCCAATTACAACCGAGGAGTCGGAATGCAAGCGCAGCCTCGAGCGCTAAAGATGGCAGCGTCACAAGGACTGGTGATGGTGCGAGCTCAGACGCTGGTCTTGATGAAGACTCCTCAGTTATGCCTGTTGTAGGCTCTCTGGGGACCAAAGAGGAGCAAGAGGAGCAGTTTTCTGAGGCAGAGCATGCTAGAGTGAGGCAGATGAGCGGTGCGAGCAGTGGGTCAGAAGCAACAGGCTATAATCAAACACAGACTGGACACGCACCAAAAACTGTTTCCTCCGACTCACAATCAGTGGAAGCACGTGTCACAGAATCAAAAACAAAAAAAAGTCACATTCCTTCATCATCATCATCTCCATCAACACCTCCTGTTTCCTCATCCCCGTCGTCCACCTCCAGTATTCCTCCTGCCATGATGCACAATTGTGTTCCAGATTCTGGTCTGATACATGGTGACCACAGAGGTGGGGAGATCAAGACTGAAAGTGAAGCTGCAGCGGAGAAAACCCAGAAGCTCAGCAGGCAAACGCAGCAAGATGGAGAAATGAGAACAAAAAATGGCCAGGACAAGGAGAACGTGTTGCACTCTGAATACAAATCACACAATAATAAGAGAGAGGAGAAACATGCATCAGAGGAACAGCAGAATGCGAGTAGTGTTGGTGTGATTGTTTCAGCTCGCTCTGAGGAAAGTCACGCAGAAAGAAGCAGACATCCCCAAGACAACTGTGCAGAAGAAAAACAGTTAAACTTTTATTTAAAAGAGTCGAGCAGCCATAATGGGGAGGAAGGTGTCGATCTGAGTCTGAATTCCTCCCATCATCAGAAATCAAACTGTGGAAGGTCACAGAATCCCCCACTGTCTGCTTCACATAAATACAGCTACCCAGAATCAACATATGGCTCAGATTTGTCCATGAAGAACAGAGTGAGGGCTGGCTCAATGGGCGTAATGGAAACAAACCCCAGATATTTATCGTACCAGCACTCACCAACTGGTTATGGTCCGGCGCATCCAAAAGATGCTGGTTCGAGGGCCAAGGCTTTGGCAAAAAGAGGTCAGCAGGGAGCGGGCTCTAAATCTCAGGAGGAGAATTCACAGATGCAGCAGTTCCCAAGCCTTTTGCAAGAAGTTCTTCAAGGTTACAATTTAGACAGACGCTATGTGAGACCAGAACAGGCATTTTCTGCACATCATCAAGCTCAGCAGCAGTTTTCAGCCAGACATACTTTTGACATGGCTGAGAGTACGGAAATGCACGGAGAGAGTTCAGCTTGTTCTGCTCAGTTGAGCAGCTCTGGAAAGCCCCTGGATCACAAAAATAGAAATGATCCAGATTTTTCCATGGATGCCCAGTCTTTAGTTAAATCTGAAATGTCCAGTTCTAAAATTCTTCAAAATGCTAATAGAACTGATGTGGGTGTGTCCCAGAGACATTTACTACAAGCTGCAGAGTCTCAGCAGCCCCCTGCGAAACACATCAACCTATCTGATTACACCCTACCACAGAGAAAAACAACGTCTAATGTGACGAGCGCTTCGTCTGCCGTGCAGGAGCTGCTACTGCAAGAGCCGGAGCCGTTATCAGGCGCCACTGGCCAAAGCAAGTCTCAGAAATTGTGCTCCGTGTTGGCCCCGTCGGAGCGGCGCTCTGTCATCTGCGACGTGTCGCCAAACCGAAGCGGCACACCAGAGGGGGGCAGAGAGATGGAGCGTGAGAAAAGTCAAAGTGGCACCTCTGTGATTCAGCAGTCATTTTCCTCTACAGCAGCACCCAGCGATCTGAGTAAAAGAGATGCAGGAGGAAAGCATGTGGTGAAAATGGAAATTGCATCCAAAGATGCCGGAGCGGGTCCAGTAAATCTACAAACTGAGCGTGATCATGGCATGAGGGGGGTGAGTGAAGCAGACGCAGAGTTTTTCTCAAAGCCTTCCCACGACCCCTACAGGCGAGGCAGCGTGGATATCATCCCCATGGCCTCTCATCCTTTATCTTCACCACCGAGGCATCATTCATATCTTCACGGTGTTGATCTGTCCGCTGGAAGTGGCACTTCATTTCCTGGATATCGATACGGAGAAACAAGAGAGGGAAGCATGATGTCTCGCGGTTTTCCCTCTCATCACCCATACCACCATTTACCCCATCAGGCTCAAAGCACAAATAAGCTTCAACTGTATCCTCGTGGCCCCCCGCATCCTCCCCATGACATGAGTGACTGGGTGAAAGCGATGAGCAGGCCTTCCAAGGAGATGATGATGATGCAGCACAGCTCTTCTCCTGGAAGACACAAAGGCAGCCAGCCAGAGCAGAAGCAGAGAGGTGTCTCCCAAAGTGACGTGCCAAGTGAGCAGCACACAAGCAAAACTCAGTCACTTCATCATCAAAGTGCTTACTATGATATGAAGATGTGGGACTCGACACACCAAGGAAGAGAGGGGGCTCGACTGATGGAGGGAGACACCCGCCATAGAACGCAGCCTTCTCCTCTTCCTTCTCCAGCTCCTGTGGTTTCACACGCTCCTTCAAATGTGGTTCATGGTCCAAATGAACCCGAAGTCTCCAGAGGAGTCACAGAAGAGGTCAAACATCCCTGCCCGCCTCCTGCCTCCAGCTCCTCTAAACCTCCCGCTGACATCAACTCTTCTCAGCCACAGCGGCCAACAAAATCTGGAGCTTCAGGAGACACGAATCCTCTGATGTTAAGAAGAAGGGTTCGCTCGTTCATTTCTCCCATCCCTGCCAAACGACTACACCAAGATCCATCCCAGCAGAGAGCTGCCACTAATTCTCATCACTCCCCCGGGGCTCACTCTGAGTCCAGCCATCATCTCAATGAAGACGACTCGTCCAGTTCAGATATGCCATGTCCCAGACTTTCATCCCCTCTGCCAGGAGAGAGCACTTTTCTACAACCTCTGTCTCCACCAAGTGGTAACGCGAAGGTTCTGTCTGCTCGAAAAGGACGAGGTTTGAAGCTAGAGGCCATAGTGCAAAAGATCACCCCCAATATTAAAAAGCCAACGGACAACCTCGATGACGAGTCCAATCATTTTTCTGCCTTCTCACACACAGAAATCCCAAGATTCAACGACTCACAGGAACAAGACTTAGCACATTTCCCCAGAGTTGCAGCGGGGGAGGATATTTACATGGATGACAGTCACTCATTAAACGACATGATCCCCTTCAGAGGAGTAGATGAAACCGGGCCTTTACCCCCACCTGTTTATCCTTGTGATTCCAATCAGACGTCTCAAATCAAACAACAAGATTTTGATTTTGGTTTAGGGGCTGGTGTGTCATCAGCATCCGGTGACAAGGAAGACTTCACTTTGCTCGGGCCCTTGCCCCCTCCTCCACCTCTTCCCCGCCCCGTCCAGGCTTCCCCACCTCCTTCTTCGTCAGCCCTATCAGACATTCAGCACTTCACCAACACTTACCAACAGCTCGAGACTCGAAAGGGAGAGCAGTCTGCTGCTAACCTCCTCCGACAAAAACTTCAAGAAACTGGCATGGGATTTGACGATTACCCCGGTAGTGACTACTACGGGACCACCCCGCCCCATCAGGGACACTTGCTGAACAGGCAACATCACATGTCCTCTGGAAGGTCCAGTCTGTCGCCCCAAGATTCAAAGCCACTAGACAATGTTGTGCCGAAAGGTTATTTCCCATCTGGCAAGAAAAAGGGCAGACCTGTAGGGAGTGTGAACAAACAAAAGCGGGCTCAGAACCAAGTTCAACCACAGGCCCAGGCTCAAGTCCAGACTCCAAACTTGTCTCTTAGTACTCCTTCAGCCCCGCCCACGCCAACCCCAACAGCTGCTTCATCCCCACCAATAGCAGAGACTAACAGCACCACGCTAGACCCAACAGAGCCCATGCCAACTGAAAATACAAGCACTTTGCCGCTAACCCCACCCATTTTAACCCAGGTGTTAAAAGCAGATGTTGAGAGTGAGGACACACCGCCAGAGATCGAGATGAAGCCACCTCGACGCCGACGCAGAGGAGCAAAAGATGAAGATGAGCCACATGAAGCGCAGGGGCGCCAGAGGAGAAGGAGGAGAGGGGCAGTGCCGGTGGCGCCGTCAATAGCCAAAGGTGACCCAGATACACCTCTAGAGGCTGGAGGGGGCGTCACAACAAACAGAGCTTTCCTGGATCCAAACAGAAAAGGCCTTTTCATCCCTCACATACACGTGGAGAAAAAAATCCCTGAGATTGGGGCAGTGTGTACTATTGTGAACGCTGAGGAGGAGAAGAAAGGGGAGCGCACTGCAGTCGGAGGAAAAGCAGTTGGAACAGATTCGCTCCTCTCTGCTTTTTCCTCCCAGTTATCGAGGAAAGACAAAGAAGCAGAAAAGAGGGAGACGGATGAAGTGGAAACTACGCTCCAGTCAGGAAAGGCGCTTCCTTCATCTGGTCATGTTGTTTCAGGTCCTGTGGTTACAGAAACCAGTCACTCTGGCCGTCTGCTGTGCTGCCTGTGTCAGAAGTGGGCCAACTACAAACACCTTGGAGATCTTTACGGGCCTTTCTATCCTGCTGAATATGCTGCGAAGCTCCCCAAGAACCAGCCTCAGATCAGACAGGGTCAGACCAGCACAGGCACAAACAAAACCGGACCAACTTCTGAGACGAGTTCAAACCCTTTGAGTATTACCCAAGACACACAAAGCCAACAGTTCCTCAAGGCCTCAGCAGAAAGTGACTGTGCCATCAACACCGATCCAAACCCAACACCTGTCACCGCTACAGTCAGACCTGTCTTCTCAGCTGGGAAGAAGGAGCCGCTCAGCAGCAGCATCTCATCATCTTCCTCCTCCACAGACATTAAACCGCCTCTGAGCTGGGACTTGGACCAAGCCCTCCATTCTATCCCTGAGCTTAAACGAGAGGCGGACCTTGAAAGCGACTGCCAGCAGGCGCCGAAACAGCCGGCGGACGACGCTCTGCAGCGACCTCAGCACAGGAAGTTGACTTCACATCCCCGCTTTAAAAGGAGGCACAAGTCTAGTGAGGATTCTCCCAGAATGGTGCCGTCCAACAGTAAGGCGTCCCTGCCTTTTCAGCCCCCTCCTCCTGCCTTGGATTCCCTGGGACCCTTGGCACAACTTGCACAGCTGCCTCAGATGCCCATGGACCCAGAAGAGCTATGGGTGCATGAAGGATGCATAGTGTGGACCAGTGGAGTGTACCTCGTCAATGGAAAACTGTATGGCCTGCAGGAGGCACTAGATGGTGCCAGAGAAACAGTGAGTGTCAGCTGTATTCACCTGCTTTGCTTTTCAATTTGAGATTAAAATAATTGAGTGCATTAAACAGTTTATATTAAAGTTAACAGCTTTGGTTAAACGTTTCTGTTTTCTCGTCAGAGCTGCTCATACTGTGAGATGATTGGTTCGACCCTGGGCTGCTACAGTAAAGGCTGCACACTTCGCTACCACTACCTATGTTCTATTGAAGCAGGTGAGAAGCGGGGGCTTGAAGTACACCTGCTTCCTTACAATCTAATGTTAATCATTGATGTCCTTTGCCAGATTGTTCTCTGAACGAAGATAATTTCTCACTGAGGTGTCCCAAGCACAAGGTGAAGAAGGAAAGGTGCGTTTTTCTCTGCCTAGTTGGACAAAAATGATCACTTTTGCTCTTTTTGTGTCTGATTTCTCTCATCAATAATTTCCTGCCTAAGCCTCCTTTTTGCTCGTCTTATCTTTTCTGCTTGTTCAGTTTACCCAGAGCGTTCGGCCAGCAAAGCCAGTGTTTGTGGAGCAGTCAGAGAGAAGCTGAGAGAAACTGTGAGGAAGAGGAGACACCAGAGTCTGGGAGCTGTAAGTTAATGCTGATCTGTTCCTTTTGTAATACAGTAGTCCCTCGATTATCACAGGGGTTATGTTCCAGACACCACCACGATAGGTGAAAAACCACAAAGTCGGAACGCTATATTTATTTTAGTATTTATAATTTAAGGCTTTATAAACTCTTCCCACACTCTTGCAATGTTCGAAACTCTTAAACCTGCATCATTTTAACAACAAATGTATATGGACTGTACAGTACTGCAAAATTTTACTAACCAGCTCTGCAGAACAGCTCGGTTCTGGTTGGGGTCGGTTCTACTGAACTGTCCTGCAGCGACGAGGTCCACCTCCCTGTCCAGGTTGATGTGCACGTGAATAATTGAGCTTCAGAATTATTTGCGACTTTCCTGCCAGTTCTGTGAGCTTAATAGATAAATCATTACTTCTTACATCACGTTGCAAAACTTTCCCTCCGTTTCGACAGAAAGCACTGTTGGCTTCTGGGTAGTGTAGTTCTTTAGACTGGCATTACAGTGAAGGCTTATTGAAAGAAAACTACAAAATGGCAGTGCCTGTCCAAAGTTTTTTCATTAACTTTTTATCCCGTACCATCCCAATCACGTGAGTAATATTAAAGTTGACAGTCGTGCTGTCTTGTACAATCTTACGTTGAAAAACCACGAAAGTCGAACCGCGAAGTAGTGAGGGACTACCGTAATAATTTTTATTTAAATGAAGATTTAATAGATGCAGTGCATCATTTAGGTGTACAGTATTGTTTTTAATCTTTCCACCTTTTAATCTGGCTCCAGAAGCCCGTACTGCAAAGCAGACTGCAGCAGACATGTTTGCTTTATTGCAAATGTCCCAACAGAGGTATTAGTCCAACAATGAGTGGAAGTGAAGCATCCTGAATTACATTTAGACCCCAGTGTTTCCCCTACCATTATACAGGTGGGGTGCCCCACCCCACCAACAAAACTGAGCACCTTGCCTACCAATCTGAACTTGCCCCTCCCACCCCCACCCGGCACTAACATATCACTAAGGTAGTGGCGTTAAATACAGGCTCTCTAGCTAAAAAGCCCAAGGCAGTTCACATGTTGCCTCTTCCCTCATGTTGAACGCCCCCCGCCCCCGCTCAAAAACTGTTAGTACAAGCTGCGCTCAGACATGTCTCTGTCCCCGCCATCCGCAAAAATCATGGATGAGATGAGCACCCCGCCATGGCAAGCTAACACTGGACCCTATAACCAGAGAAGGAGTGAACCACCGATTCAAGCTCAGAAACAAAGGTTTTGTCTACGACTTGGTTTGAGATTAGAATTATGGTTTACTTTTTATCATTTTTGAGAATTGTCTCTTTGATTTGCTGTTGTAGGTTTATTTGTACTTTTCACAGACTCTTATTCTACATGAGCTGCTCTTTGTTTGTTGATTCTTAGACTGATTTATTTGGAAATTCAGAGCTCCTACACTCCTGTCACTTCCTGTCTTTACCTCCTCCTCACTTTCAGACCAACCAGTCGCCATGGAAACTGATACACATGTTTTCTGTCAGAGTTAATATTCTTATGGAGACCTCAGGTTTTGTAAAAGTTTTATAAATGTTGCTTGTGTCTTAACAAAACAATATTAAATATATCCGCTGGGGATTTACCAAACAATCAGCTGGTGGTTGTAATCGGATGACTGGCTGAAATCTGTGATGGACTGGTCTGAAACTCAGAAATCGGATATATATATTTTCCCAGTCTGTGAAAGCATTGTTCTCAAGCTGCAAACCTCAACATTTTTCTCAGTTCATGGTTGCTGATGCTAACATCTAACTTGTGCTAGCTATAACAAGTAAGTGATTTTATTGGTGAAGAAGACTTGGATGATTTTATTATTTCATTGATCGAGTTTAGGTGACCTGGAAATTGTTCTACATTGGAAAGTTCAGATAACGTAGTGACATCATGGCAGCACTGAAACCACACACCGATTTGTGTCCTGACTCGTGTGTGACTCGCAGAAAGTTCCTGTGCACTGCAGCAAATGCACACATGGACCGTCCTGTCAGTCCTTTTAATTGTGACGTCTTCCTCCTCTGTTCCTCTGAGCAACACATCATTTTCCACGATTGATGCAACGTATTGATGGATGAATGGAGATGGATCGTGACCGCAGATATACAGTATATCCATGTTTGTTATTATTTTTTGGATCAAATTCAGTCTCGTGACTCACTTTTCCATTTCACTTTTTGGATCTGAGCTTCAAATTGCAGTTATGAGAAACGAGGTCGAATCAAAAGTAAATAAAATCAGTTTTTCATTTTTTGATTGCCTATTGCTAATAGAATAAATGATAGATACACTGATCGTTTGCTGTTCATGCCATCAATAATGTGATTAAAATAAAGTCAGAGGAAACACAAGAGAAACACTAAAAGAAAACCTTTTTCCTGTAGAGGTTCGTCTGCAGCTGTTTTACTGCTCAGCACCATTTTGTCTGAAAGAATCAGCTATCTGCTAAACTGACCTTGCTAAGCATATAGTTACAATAAAATTAATGAAGTATTTATAAATCTAACATGTGTAATAGTAAATCTTTTAGTTGTATTTGTTGGACACTGCTGCAACTTATTGCAAATTAATATCCATTAGAAAAAAAATGTGCTGTGATGCATGTGTGTTTGGATATGTACTTTTTATTTTTATTTTTTATAAAGCAAATATACTGTAATTATTTTCCTCTCAGGTTTTATTAAATCCCCGTCTGGAGGATATTATTTATAGATTTGACCTTGATGGAGAAAATGAAAAGGTGCTTTACTGTAAATATTTTATCATGAACAGACCCGAAATTATATAAAAAATATAGTATTTACAACAAAAGGCTTCAAGTTCAAGTAGGTTTGTTGTTGCTTCACATGTGGTACATGAAGTGGAACAAAATTGTGTGCACAGGGTCCCAGTTACATCCAACAATAGCAAAAATATTAAGTGTGAAAATAATTCATTAATAAGGATCTAAGCTCTATCGGGCTTCTGTGGCTGAGTGGTTAGAGCAGTCGTCCTCCAATGCAAGAGTTGGATGATCGATTCCCAACAGTCACATGCTGAAGTTCAAGTAGTATTTATTTGTCATATGCGAGGTTAACGCAAGGTTAACAGTACAATGAAATGCTCAGGATGAGAAGTGTCCCTGGATAAGACACTGAACCCCTCATAGCCTCTGATGTGTGTCCCATCAGTGCATGAATGTGATAAAGCTCTGATCAGTCTTTGTACAGATCTAGTAGAGTGATGTATGAATGGATAAATGAGGCACAGATTGTAGTGTAAAGTGCTTTGAGTATCTTGATAAGATAGAAAAGTACTATATAAGTACAGTCCATTTACCATAAGATATACACTACAATATACTCTAAACGAATGCCAAACGGTACGCTAAAATATCTATTATACGCTAAACATTAATAATGTAAAGCAATACGGAGTAACAACAGCAGCCCGAACATGAGTGTAGTGAGTAAATGGGTATGAATGAATACAGTAGCATGAAATAATTCAGATTCAGATATTCTTTATTGTCGTTCCACCACATGTACCACATGTACGCAGGTCCCAGTTACATCCAACAATAAAATGTAAAAGAAAAGCAGTAATAAGATCTAAGATATGAACTGAAGAAAAACATCAACTAAATATACACTTAAGCACTAATAACATAAAAGCATTACGTCGAACAGCAGCATGAACATGAGTCTGTGTGAGCAGATGAGCACGAATGAACACATCAACATGAAACAGATCAGCAGCAACATGATGTGATTTTTTTTCACAGTGATTATTCTGGTTAGAGATTCATGAGTCCAACAGCCTCAGGGTAGAAGCTGTTCCTCAGTCTAGTGGTTCTACACTTAATGCTCCTCAACCTCCTTCCTGAGGGGAGCGGGTCAAAAAGTGTGTGTGCTTGGTGAGTGAGGTCCTTCATGATGCAGGTGGCTCTCTTCCTGCATCTAGAGGTCTAGATGTCTGTGATGGTGGGGAGACTGACTCCAACAGACTTCTGTGCAGCCTTCACCACTCTCTGCAAAGCTTTTCTTTCTGCAGCTGTGCAGCCTCCATGCCACACATTGATGCTGGAGCACAGGATGCTCTCTACTGCACACCTGCAGAAGGTGGTGAGGACTGAGCTTCCCAGACCAGCTCGTCTCAGCCGCCTGAGGAAGTAGAGTCTCTGATGAGCTTTCTTGATCAGGCTGGAAGTGGTGTTGCTCCAGCTGAGGTTGTCATTCATGTGTACACCCAAGAACTTGTAGCTGGAGACCACTTCCACCGCAGATCCTCTTATGTTCGGGGGGAGGGGGGGGGGGTGTTCCGGCTGAAGTCCGCGACCATCTCCTTCGTCTTCTTCACATTGATGTGAAGGTTATTCTTATTGCACCAGTTCTCCAGGTGTTCCACCTCCTGCCTGTAGCTGGACTGATTGTTTGTGATGCATCCCACCACTGCTGAATCATCTGCAAACTTTACAATGTGACAGTCTGGATGGGTAGCAGCACAATCATACGTGAGCAGAGTGAACAGGAGGGGGCTCAGCACACATCCCTGAGGAGAGCCAGTGCTGAGGGTTATGGTGGAGGAGAAGAAGTTGTGGATCCTCACTGACTGTGGTCTGTTTGTTAAGAAGTCTAGGACCCAGTTGCAAATGGAGGGGCTTAGTCCTAGTGTGAATAGTTTGTCCATCAGGGTTTGGGGGATCTTGGTGTAGAAGGTGGATATGAAGTCCACAAAGAGCATACGGACGTAGGAGTTCTTCTGCTCCAGGTGGGTGAGAGCAGTTTGGACCACAGAGGAGATGGCATCCTCTGTTAGTCGATTCTCACGGTATGCATACTGATGAGGGTTGATGTTTGTTTTGATGCGAGTCTTCAATAAACACAAATTTCTAAAATATGGTGGTATTTGTTACTCTGTAGTTGTTTCCTCTAATCAAATGGTAAATGTTTAATTTTTTCTTCTTTATTTCTAACTTTTGTGTTGCCTTTCTCAGGTTAACTTCGACTTCAGAAGATTGAGGGGAACTGTGAAAAAACTGGACCAGTGTTTGTCGAGAACAACTAAAGGGAATGTACAATTTCTCAAATGGAATCAGCATTATTCAAGACGATGTAGAAAAAAAAACTTGTTTTGTTTTTTTTAAAGTGAGAACGGTTTCTCTTTACTTGAGCTGAAAAACAACAACATGGATGAACGACACACAGCTGCAAGGAAAAAGAACTGCAACGATCAAAGTGGGATGAAATGAGACAAGAGGAGCTCGAGCAGCTTCTCTGTAAAGAACAAAAAGAAACAAACTTCCTCTCTAGGCTTAAAGTACTTAACTCTTGGTTATCATCTTTTTTTTATTTGTTTGTTTGCTTTAGGGTTTATCGGGAGCAAATTCAGTGTCACACCCAGAACTACAAAGAAGACATCTGGGCATCATTTTACTTGTAGCATTTTATTTTTTGTGATATTAGGAATTTCAGTTATTATTTTAGTTATCATTATTATATTATTACTGTATGCTCATCAGCATTTACTCATGAAAATGAAATAATGTATTTCACTTCGTACTGTCAACGCATGAGTTAGTTTATCATTATTTTTTATGGTTTATAAATATATATTTTTTTTATTCCTGGGGAGAGAAGAAGCCGAAGAGACGGATGTTTGGAATGTCAGGGTTGCATTTGCCACAAAGACATTATTGCCTTGGAGAATGGACATCTGTTGCCTTTAAAAAAAAAAAAAAAAGCAAAACAACAACAAAAAAAACGTTGCGTATGAGTGACAAATGAGTGCGTGAGTGTGGAAATATCTGGGTCTTTGATTCCATTTTGGTCCTTCTGAAAAGTGTTCTTATTTTTCCATCACTTGGAGTTTTTTGGTACAGATAGTATTCATGACAAACCAGATGGACGTTCTTATTTTTCAAGTACAAAACGTTCATAAAGTGCAAAGATGGAGACTTGCAGGAAGCGCAGAGAACACTATGGACTAATGTGTCAGAACAATTCAAACATGGACTCCCGAGGAGCTGAAGCTTTGATCTGTTGGAAAAGTTACGTCTGAAAACCGTGTGGGAGTTTGTCAGACGGCGACGGAGCTTTTGTGGCACTGAACTGTGGAGACGTCTTATGAAAACTGTCCGGTTAATGTGGAGCGAGCCAAGTACTTTAAGGGTGACACGGCGGCGAAAGAATCGGAATACGCAAAACTGTTGCCATCAAATTTTAAAGTGAGTCATACATGGTGTCGTCTTTATCATTTTTTATTGTTATTCTTGTAAAAAAAAAAAAAAAGTCAAGCTGAAAGATGACAGTTACACTATCAAAACCATGCTGTATTAGAAACCTGTCAATATGTATATGAATTATGAATACACCTAAACATGCTTCAAATGTTTCTTCTTCTGACCTGTTTCCCTTGAATTTATTTGCGGTTTTGTGGGATTGAATTCTCACAAACAGTCACGGAAACGAAAACACCTTGTTCAAATCTAGATTTACGTATCAGGACATAATAAAGAGGATTTGGTTATTACCAGGATTAAGTTTTGTCAAATCAAACCTCAGTGTACAAAAACACAACAGACAGGTCATTTTAACAAAATGGAAAAAATGAGTCAACATGATTCAATTCCCCACAACCTCCTTCAGCTGTTAAGACTTTTACTCAGTGCAACGATTGTGGCTATACCCAGATACAAGGACTGAAGAGAACTGATACAAGACTCAAAGCGTATTAACAGTGTTTATTTACAAAGTGATAAATCATTCAATGAGCCAGGGAGGGAGCTGGAACCCTGAAGAGCAACGAGATGGTTAATGGTCTGTCGGCAGGTTTGCTGCTCCTTACGATGGAGGTAGGAGTCAGTTGTGGGGAGAGCTGACCAATGGTTCCAGGTGAAGAAGGTGTTTGAATGATGTCAGGAGACTGGCAAGTGGTAGAATGGCATGGAGGCACAGGAGAGCTTGAGGTCCACAGAGGAGAATCCAGGGGACAGGAGGACATCGGATTATTCACTGGAAGCACCAAGAAATACATCGTTAATATTCAGTTTAACTCACAAGTAAAAGAATGGTAAATGGACTGTACTTATATAGCGCCTTTCTGTCTTATTTCAAGATACTCAAAGCTCTTTACAGCACAATCTGTCCTCACCCATTCAAACAGCACTCTACTAGATCTCTACAAAGCTAATTGAACAAATCATTCTAAAGAGACTAATCAGTGCTTTAGATCACATTCATACACTGATGGGACACATCAGAGGCAACGAGGGGTTCAGTGTCTTGCCCAGGGACACTTCAGCATGTGACTGCTGGTGGAGTCGAACCCCCAACTCTCGCATTGGAGGACGACTGCTTTAACTGCTCTAAAAGAACAGAAGTACCATTGGCAGGTAATGCTCCAGCACTGACTGGATGTCCTCTGCAGCCTTTTATGCTCCTCTTGCTCATCAAGCTGATGGTCCTCTGGTGCTCAGATGTGGCTGCAGAGCAGAACTCCCACACTCAGTCATTTTCTGTGTGGCTTTATCAGTCACTCATTGTGGAGGAATTTGAACCCACTCTTCTTTACATGGCTTCATTTCATTGATGTATACAGACATTTATTTCTGCACAGCTCTCTTAAGGTCCCACTTCAGTATTTTAATCAAATCTGGACTTAGACTGGACCATTGCAGCACCTTGATATTTTTTAATTACAAAGTAGTTTTTTAAGCCATTATGTTCTAGATTAGCTTCTTTGTTTTGGATTATTGTCCTTGAATGTCCCATGTTGGTCCAACTTTCTGACAGATGGTCTTACTTTGGCTCTAAAATACTTTGATGGACAGAGAAGTTCATAATCGACTCAATAATTGAAAGGTGCCAAAATACTAAAGGAGCCCAAATCATCACCTTCCACCTTCTAATATGCTGTGTTTGATTGTTCCACACAGCAGAGCGAAAAAGAAGAATGGGAAATATCCTTCGTCCGCCTGTACTTGCATGTTGTGAACACGATAACTTGAAAAATAAGTGATATACAGAGTAGACTTCCATTTTAGTGTGTGGAAACATCTAGGTGTAAGAAAGATGCCACATCAAAATCCAAGATGGTTGCCACCATGTGTTTGTCCATCTTGTGAGCTGGATAACTTACAAAAGTAAAAGAAACTTCCATTAAGGTGTGTGGATGAATAGGTGTAAGAAAGTCCATCCATCCATCCATTATGTTCCGCTTATTCCAAAGTCGGGTTGCGGGGGCAGCAGCTTGAGCATGGAGGCCCAGACATCTCTTTCCACAGCACCTCTTCCAGCTCTTCTGGGAAGATTCCAAGGTGTTCCCAGGCCAATTGAGAGACATAGTCTCTCCAGCGTGTCCTGGGTCTTCCCCGGAGTTTCCTCCCAGTTGGACATGCCTGAAGCACCTCCCTAGGGAGGTGCCCAGGGGGCATCCTTACCAGATGCCTGAACCACCTCAACTGGCTCCTCTCGACGTGAAGGAGTAGCGGTTCTACTCCGAGTCTCTTCCAGATAACTGAACTTCTCACTGTATCTCTAAGGGAGAGTCCAGCTACCCTGCAGAGAAAACTCATTTCAACCGCCTGTATCTGCGATCTCATTATTTTGGTCACTACCCAGAGCTCATGACCATAGGTGAGGGTAGGAACGTAGACCGACCGGTAAACAGAGCTTTGCCTTACAGCTCAGCTCTCTCTTCACCACAACGGACCGGTACAGAGTCCGCAATACTGCAGATGCTGCACCAATCCGTCTGTCAATCTCACGCCCCATTCTTCCCTCACTCGTGAACAAAATCCCGAGATACTTGAACTCCTCCACTTGAGGCAGAACCTCACCCTCGACCTGAAGAAAGCAATCCACCCTTTTCCGGTTGAGGACCATGGCCTCAGATTTGGAGGTGCTGATTCTCATCCCAGCCGCTTCACACTCGGCTGCGAACCGCTCCAGTGAGAGCTGAAGATCATGGCACAATGATGCCAACAGAACCACATCATCTGCAAAGAGCAGAGATGGAATCCTGAGGCCACAGAACCGGAAACCCTCTGCCAGCTGGCCGCATCGAGAAATTATGTCCATAAAAGTTATGAACAAAATCTGTGACAAAGGGCAGTCCTGGCGAACTCCAACTCCCACCCTGAAGGGGTCCGACTTACTGCCGGCAATGCAAACCAAACTCTCGCACTGCTTGTATAGGGACTGAACAGCCCATAACAACGGGTCTCCAATCCCATACTCACGGAGTACCCCCCACAGTGTACCCTGAGGAACATGGTCGAATGCTTTCTCCAAGTCCACAAAACACATGTAGACTGGATGGGCAAACTCCCATGATCCCCCAAGGACCCTAGTGAGGGTAAAGAGCTGATCCAGTGTTCCACGGCCACATTGTTCCTCCTGGAACTGAGGTTCGACCAATGATCAGACTTGCTTCTCCAGTACCCCTGAATAGACCTTACCAGGGAGGCTAAGGAGAGTGATACCCCTAAAAGTTGTAGAAGTTGACCCATTAGCAGTAATAGGAGCAGAAATATGCTGTAAATTTTCAAAAATACTTTTTTTTTGAAGAGGTCTAATTTTGTTTAAATAGTTAAATATCTTGAAAAGTGTAAGTTACAAAAAAGTCAAAGCACCGATCTCCTGAATGAGCTGATTTTTTTATGTGTCACCATCACATCAAATTAGCTCATTTTTTTGGGTCAAAAGAAACCAAACACATTTTCATATTCCTGTTTTTTAAAGCTCTATTACGATACTTAGATCATCCTGATATCATCAACAGTTCCAGAGACATGACTCGATTTGTCTTGACCAACACACAATTTCCAATTTATTGGTTAAAAAATGTTTTCTCAAAACTCTGTTGAAAGTGTCCTGTTCTGCAAGACAGATCAAAATGAGTCTAGGAATCAAAATGGAAACAGATGGAACAGAGCTGTCTGTTTTGGATTTGATTATACATCTGGATTAAAGAAGAGGATGTGTGCGTGTGTGTGTGTGTGTGTGTGTGTGTGTGTGTGTGTGTGTGTGTGTGTGTGTGTGTGTGTGTGTGTGTGTGTGTGTGTGTGTGTGTGTGTTTGTGTGTGTGTGTGTGTGTGTGTGTGTGTGTGTGTGTGTGTGTGTGTGTGCGTGCGTGTGTGTGTG